GGGGGGGGGGGGGGGGGGGGGGGGGGGGAAATGGGTGAATCGGGAAACAGAATCCGATTGATTATAGAAGCTGTTGATGTCGGCTTCAGGCCCAAATACTTCGCTTCAGGCCCCACCCCCAGGTGTCAACATGGGTCGGTGTTTAATCACCTGTTTGGGCTTTGGGTAATATCCACCGACGTGGTTTAAAATTGTATTGTATTCATATTCACTCAGTTCAACGTTCAAAAAGAAAAAAAGCAAGAGAAGAAGAAGCCTTGAATTAATCTTAATAAGCTACTCGAGAACACAATGGCAGTAGATATTTTGTCATGTGATATCTACACATAATTAATACATACATACATCATCTCTATTCGACGATTGAAAATCCCACATCAACTAATTTAAAGAATGATTGTGGGTTTATAATCAATACAATATGTTGTAGAGAACAGTGATTTTTAATAATCCCATATATGATATGTATGCAGCCAAAAAGCCAATTAATTCTGAGAGAGATCAATATCGAGAAAGTTGGGGGTCGTAGATCTTGGAAAGCGCGTTCAAAACATGAACTTGAGACCTCAATTGCATAATATAATCCGCCGTTTTTAAGAATAGCCGGTCCGGTTTCAGCCTCCGTCCTCCGGGGATGATTCGCTGCAGCTTTCTCAACTTCATGTGAACGGAGGCGCCGCCGTGCCGTCCGCCGCGCCTCCCTCTCCTCTGCCACTTCACCTTCGCAATCCCTCTGGTCTCATCACAATTGTAATATTCCATTTCCAAGAATAAAACGAATCGGGAATTTTTGGAATTGGAAGAGAGAGTTTGTTGATGTGTCCCTCAGCCCTTCACTATATATATATATATAATGAAAGCATGTGACACATTAATATATATATATATATATATATTATATTACATCAAATATAAATTCCTTAATGAAACTTGTTTATTTATTAAATATTATTTTCTTAAAACTTATTAATAATTAATATTAGAAAAAGAAAAAAGCTAATTTTCGACTTATTATCTGAAAATAAAGTACTCGAAGAGATTTAAATCTTTATAATAAAAAATGAAATTCAATTGGAAAAAGAAAGGGATTAAGTTCTTTTGTCGTTATGTAAGAATGGTGGGGCCCAGGATGGTTGGATTTGAACGACCCACACACGTGTCTGACAGCTAGGTTTGGGTGCCCACGCCAACGCCACCCACTACTCTTTCTTTCACTTACCTTTCTGTCCTCGTAGTCCCCGAATCACCTCTTTACCACACGTGTCCTGATACGATCGCCTACATCCAACGGTCCAAATTCCACATCTTATTCATTTTCTTTATTTATAATATTATTATTATTATCGATCCAGCTAAATTTAGAGGTAGGCCCCAGCTTCAGGGGTTAGCTAGCTGTGCAGGAAGTTGGGCGCACATGTCTGGGCCGGAACTGAAATGTTATCTTCCAGCCAGTTTTCTTGTATCAAATCGTTGGGCCATGGCCCACCCCCACTACTTTCCAACCCTCCCGATCCCACCACTAGCAGATATGATCCTCTTTAGTCTGTTACATATCATCATCGACCTCATCGTATTAAATCAACCAGTGTCTGACTCCGTCTACTAAAGAGGGGTTTCCACACCCTTATAAGAATTACTTCATTTTTCTCTCCGATCCATTATAATTTAATCATGTTCCCGTTTCCTAATTTGGCAATCAAACATTCATAATTTATATTTAAATTATGAATAACTTTAAAAGCATTCATTATCCTATAGTCAATATATGTCACGATTCTACAAGTGGACTGCCAGATGTGTTATCCAATTTTTATTTATATTATATATTTCAAATCAATTCATTTATGTCATTAAAATGTCAGATTCAATTAATAAATTCTTTATTCCGACAAAAAGTAAAGTTATTTAATATGGTTTTTTTTTTCAGCCTATGAAATTAGAGTTATTTTAAATTTTATTTTTCATAAAATTAAGAGTTAAAATTTCCATATTTTTATTGAAGTAATTATTTTAAATTTTGATTTTAACCACACGTATAAAATTTTCGCACGTGTGTTGAAATGATATGTGGTTGGTTGGAGTTGAGTAGATGGAGGTTTGAGGTCCTTAATGTGGTGGGAACCGAAGGCACATGGTTGCACATGAGCACTGAAATTAGTCGTGGTTCCAAGCCCTGAACTTGAGGTTATGCAATGGCTGGCTGGTGGGCTGCGGCTGTTCCCTATGCTTCACTCCAACCTCCCACGGGGCATTCACTTGGCCCATCTATTTTATTCTTCACGCGTCTAATGGAACTTAAATCTGTTGTTTAGTTAGTTATTTGTGAAGAGTCGGGCGGTCTTATCGTGACATTCAAGTAAATGAGTGATATGTAAATGTAAAAGTCTAAGCACACTGCTAGTAGATATTGTTCTTTTTGAGCTTTGCTATTCGGACTTTCCTTCAAAAATTTTAAAACGCGTGTGCTAGAGAGAGGTTTCCACACATTTATAAAAAAATGTTCCGTTCTCTCTTCCAACCGATGTGGGATCTAAAAATAAAGGGTGGTGTATTTAACATGATATGTACGTGCGCATGTAGGTATTGTAGAACCGCTCAATAACCACTTTGGCAATAGCTTCGAAGATGGGTAGATTGTGAAATCTCTCATTAATTGGAGAGAGAAACGAGTGTCAGCGAGAATGTTGGGTTCAAATGGGTTGGATTGTGAGATCCCACATTGGTTGAAGAGGAGAACAAAACATTATTTATAAAGTTGTGGAAGTCTCTCCAGCAAATGCGTTTTAAAAACCTTGAGGGGAAGCCCGAAAGGAAAAATCGAAAACAGACAATATTTGGTAGAGATGAGCTTGGGCTATTGCAATAAATGAACTGAGATTACATGAGACGAGAGTTAATATGTATACCAACAAGGAACTTTATGGTTAAGCATGACATGTCGGAGCAATTTTATGTGACCTCCCGTCAATTGTAAACTTTTCTAAAATATATATGAGCGAGGACAAAATATGTTGGATGACCCGTGTTGATATTTGATCTGACTATGTGTATGTGAGTGAGAACAAAACATATTAGAACGACTCGTATTGATTGTAGGAACGATCTTCATTCTTAAAAAGCAAGCAAGGAATATGTAACCTAATTATGTCGCCCGAGAGGCAAGTGAATCTGAATTCCAAATCCTGGTATCGGGCATTTAGCCCATAATTTTAGGGATTGTTTATGTACCAATGGGTTTTTGATCGGTTCTACTGAATTAAAGTCGTGTGCACATTTGTTAGGTATTGGGTTAGCCCGCCCGACAATAACCCATTTGAAAGCTGAGTTTGGAGCTAATCATTATTGGGCTCCTTGGTGAGAAATTGCCAAAGCCCCAAAACTCACTCACCTGCAAATGAGGAACAGCTGCAAATGTCTTAAATGAAGTATGTCATGTTTTATTAATTTATCCGAAATGTCATATGTTTTCTAAATGTTTATTTTTTTTAGTTTTTAACATTGTGAAATTGTTTGCAACATAAAATGCCGATCATAAAACAAATGGATACAAACTCAAGTTTTTTGGAAAGACACTATCGCTTAGGTTGCTACTTCATCTACCCGATCTAATTTCTTTTTAAATTACGATATTTCGAGTATTGCCATAACTACTAAATAGCCGAACACATGAAAATGCGTTTAACAATAGCAAAATAAGAAGACAAACCGTCCACTTTTAAAATGATAATTAATATTCTATCTATTAAATTATGCTAGAACCCACGAAAATTTGAAGATAATTAGAATATGGCTGAGCGAAGAAATCGAGTAGAAGAAGGAGAAAAGAGAGCTATTTTCTCAAGAGAAGAACATCGATACTAGTTGTCGCTAAACCAGAAGTGCATAATGATTAGTGTCTCAACGTCTGAACACTACAACTCAGACAAAGCAACGCTTTAGTCAACTCTTATCCCCTTAATTCTGCTTGATGCTAATTTAGGCGAGAAAAAAAAAAGAAACTAAGATTAATTAATATCCTAATCAATGATGGTAATTAATATCCTGATATGATGATAAAGGCAGTGTCACATTAAAAGAAGCAAAAAGAAAAAGAACTAAACTCCATGATTATGGGAGGTAGTAGTTATATCACAATCATGATAACGACGGAGGAGTCGTGAATAAACCACCTGATCGTCGTCGTTGTCATCGTCATCGTCATGATTCTCTACTTTCGCAACCTTTTCCATTGCCAAAAGCTCCAAAGTTTTCTGCGCTGAGCTCTCCGACTGATGCTGATGGGGACGTACCACCGCCTCTTCTCCTGCCGGCGCCACCACTGACGGTAGCTTTGCCAGCAGCGCTTCCAAACTGCTCATAGATGGCGTTATTCTTAGCTGCTGGTTGAAATTATTATACATTAAATTCTCTACCGGACCTCCCAACCCGCTCCCTTGGAACCACCCCATCTCCGGGCTCTCGTACGCCGTTGCGGTGGATGCCCCCACATCAGGAAAAGAAGGAATCGATGAACATAGAGGATGAGGCAATAGAACCCCCGGAATGCTTTCGATGTAGCATAATTTCTTTCGTAATTGTACTATGAAACTCAAGTCTTCCGTCACCTATAACACAAATTAAACGTTTATATATTTTAATCTCTAACATTTACAAATGTAACAAACAAGGTGATACCTTTTGAACCGCTCCCAATTGGACAACACCTTCTTTCACCGCAATCAAAGCAATAGTCTGGATAAAAACATCATCGTATTAATTTAAGCATAACTCAATATTATTTATTTAAATAACGACTGGTTTGGAACCTTTATGCCTGACTGAAACTGAGCTTCCCAAGTACGAGGATGCTGAAAAAAATAAAAAAAAAAATAGAAATTTTTAAGTGGGTTTCAATTTTGTGCATGGATTATGAATTATGTAATAATTACTTACGGAGTCGGCGGAGTTTTGCCATGTGGGTAAGAATTTAATGTCTTGATTATCATTGGGTTCATTATGAATCCATTTATGGCTTCGATCCGCCGCCACTTTCCCGATCAATCTGCAACGCCAAATTAATTAAAGTTTGGATTTTTAAAATTATTGTTTAAAGAAATTAATTACCCTTCTCCATAATTGTAGATCTCGTGTGACATCTTGAAGAACAGCTCCGGTTGTAAACCCCGACATGGTTGTACACCATACGCCACCGACGGCGCCGGAAAGTCTCCGGCAGCCTCCGACGCAGCAAAATTACAGAAACCATCTTCCCACACCAAAATCCTACGCAGAAACATCGTAATTTGAGGTAAATTGCATAATCCATAAAGAACCCAAATGATAGAACATACCAATTTCTCCAATTTCCTCTTGACCTATCAAAAGCTCCTTGATTTTCCCATCTGTAAAAGAAGAACAAATTAAAAGTGGGAAAAAAATGTAAAAAAATTAGAGAAAAAAGAGTACTTTGGAGGTGGGTAATTGCGAGGGAGGATCCGCCAAAACACTGCATAGACCCATTGCGAGCTATGATGAACACATAGGCTTCTAAGAGTGTGTTGAAGAAGATGAGTAGTGGCTAACAAGCTAAGGCTCTGTTCCATTATAAATGAAGATTACCACAAAATGGGAGGTTGAAAGAGAGGGGAAAGAATATAAAGGAAGGGTTTTTGAGGGTAATAAAAGGGTCCTACGGGGTCTGGATTGGGTCAGTATTGGTTCCCCACTAAAGGGTTTTGCTCAGAATATCTATCAGTGGTTCTCAAATTTGATACTATTGTTGTTGGTTTGGTTGTTTGTTTTTTCAAAAGATTTAATGATAATGTAGGAGAAGGGTACTTAGAATTGTGGGGGATCAGAGGTGTGAGTTCAAACTGGGTGGGCTGCAACCATATCATTGTCACCTAGACTTATACTGTTATCTTATTTATTCTTCATTGTTTGTCATCATGTTTTTCGGGATTAAATTACTCTTATCATTTGTTCTTATCGGTCGATAGATGCAGACATAGCTAGTAGCATAGGAGCTAACTCGATGTTTGTGGCTTTGTATCACACTCGAGTAATCTAACATGTAGTTCCACACGTTCCAACACTTTTGCGTTTCATTTCCACTAATCGTGAAAGCTATGAACAATATGACATTTAGGTTAGGTTGTCACGAAAAAGAAACACAAAAATGAGAAAGAGCTTGTTTAAAAGGTACTGAGGTAAGTAGTAACCGTTGAGGATAGCTAATTTAGGAAATGATCATGGGTTTATGAGGAAGGACTACATCTCCATTGGTACGAGACCTTTTAGGGAAGCTCAAAGCAAAACCACGAGAGCGGACAATATCATACTATTGTGGAGAATCGTGATTCCTTACAGTAACTCCTACCGCTGTTGAAGCCTTCTCGAGAATCTTTCTTTTTGTCCAAGTTGTGAGTGTAATCTCGTCTTTCTTGTAGCTTTGTTTGGTTTGTTTGATGACGTGGATTAGTATAAAAGAAAGGTGATTAATTAAACAAGTTAATCTTAAGATGTCACTCCCTCTCCCAGCTTATCCTTGTAAAGAAAAAAGGGAGCTTTCCATGATTGCACTCACAGTCTGACACCAAAGGTCCAAAGAAAGTTTAATGGCAGTCTCTGTTATGCTCCTTTGACCAACTTTTTGGCATTTTAACCTACAATTTTGCTTTAATTACACTTGCACCAAACTAACAACCCCATATCTCTATTGGTATTAAATTCTTGGCAGAAACAAAAAAAATATAATATCCAATTATTGTCTGAGATATGTAGACGATGATTATCAACCCACATCGGTCTTGGTTCGTTACGTATTATCGTCAACCTCATAATTTCAAAATTCGTCTATTAGGGAGAGGTTTCTACACCTTATAAATAATGTTTCGTTCTATTCTCCAATTGATGTGGGATCTCACAATCCACTCCTAGGAGGCCTAGTGTTCTTGTTGGCAAACAGCTTGATATCTAACTCTGATACTATTTGTAACAGTCCAAGCCTACCGCTATCAGAGATTGTCCGTTTTAGCTTATTATGTCGTCATTAACCTCACGGTTTTAAAATGCGTCTGTTAGGGAGAGATTTCTACACTCTTAAGAGACCTAGCGTCCTTGTTGACACACTGCCGGTGTCTGACTCTGATACCATTTGTAACAATTCAAACTCACCGCTAGTAGATATTGTCCGCTTTAGCCTATTACGTATCGTCATTAAACTCACGGTTTTAAAACGCGTCTATTAATGAGAGATTTCTACACCCTTATAAATAATGTTTCGTTTCCATCTTCAACTGATGTATGATCTCATAATCCACCCCTAGGGGGTCTAGCATCCTCGCAAGCACACCACCTGGTGTTTGTCTTTGATACCATTTGTAACGACTCAAGCCCACCACTAATTTAATTCGTTACGTATTGTCATTAGTCTCACAGTTTTAAAACGCGTTTATTAGGGAGAGGTTTCCACTGTCTTAAAAGAAACAATTTGTTTCCCTCTTCAATCAATAAGATATCTCACACTAACCATAAGATAAACCATCAATACATTAGCTTAAGATCGTAGATTCAATGATCTATTCTAACATATTAGGAAGGGTTGAAGGACAAAAAAACATTAGTTTCTAGCTGTTTTTTGTAACATAAGGAACATGGTTGGAACAAAAACACAGACATAAACTGAAAGGGTGGAATGGAAACGGAGAAGTCTTAGGTATGGGGGAAGAAAAAAAAAAAAAAAAAAAAAAAAAA